TATTTGTTCTAACAGAGCTTGGAATTCGGCAGGTTCCAAATGGTAGTCTGGTGGGATGTAAATGTTACATATGTTGAGTACATCTTTGAGGTCTATAGATATAGCTATAGCTTCTAGGTTTGTATTCAATGGAATTGGTCGGACAGGTATCTCCCTTTTGACGTATATTGAGACTCCACCACTTGCTGTGGGTCTTTGCCTGTTTTTGAAAAATCCTGCATAGTTTTTGGGTGAGTGTGATTTTGTGTCGTGGAAATGCGTTTCCTGGAGGCAAACGACATCTGGTGTATAATCAGCTATCAGTTTTTTTAACATGTTTAAATGGACATAGTATCCATTTAAGTTCCATTGCAATATTGACATGATTCTTATTTTAGTAAAAAGATGTGTCTATTGAGGAAGTATCGCTAAGAGAGTCATTGAGACTTTTGTCGATGATGCGTTCCAGTTTCTTCCGAAGTCTGGTGCAGCGGTTTTTTAGCGTTCTGTCATCTATATGAGAATATATTAGTAGTAACATTTCTGTAAGTCCCTTGATATCATCTGTAAAGTCGTTTATGATATGTGTTATGTCTTGTACCCCATGTGTGTTTTCCAGTAAACTCTTGAGCTGGTCACAATTTAACGCGAGTGGTGGGGTATGGCTTTCTATAAATGCTTTAACTGGAGATAAAGCATCGTCTTGGATGATCGACGGTCCAGTTTCCGACTTATGCTTTTTGGTGTTAATGTTTCTTGGAATAGTGAACGTAGGACTGTTGGGTGTATTTGCTGCTGGAGGTGTTAAAATATTTGAAATGGGTCTTTTGTTGGGTGCTTTATCTATTATATTTGTCTGGCTGCTACTGAATGTTACGCTTCGTGGTTCATGTGAGGTGTTGGATGTCTGTACTAGTATTTCCTTGTTGCTTGGTTGAGATGAAGGGAGAAAAACTGTTGTTTTGCTATGATTCTGTTCTATCCTTTGAGTGGTTTCGGTGGCTGAAATTTCTGGCTGACTATATTGTGTGTTGCTGTTATTTGTCAGTGGTGTGTTGTTTACAGAAGGACAGTGTGAAGCAATATGACCAGAAAGTTTACATTTAAAACATTTCTGACTGTCTAGCGATAAGAAGATGCGATATGATAGACTATCGTGAGTGATTTCGATGGACTCAGGTATTTGGTTAGATTCTAGAGGTGTAATATATACCTGCCTCCTGAAGCTTAATATGTGATTGTATTCTGGTACTGTTGCTCCGATTCTCAAAAATGTTATGGAAGATATTAATTTCAAGCCTAGATCTTGTAGTTTTTCCTTTAAAACTGCGTGTGGTATTGTTGGGCAAACGTTCGATAGCACTAACCTGTCCGATGGTGAAATTAATTTACGGGCCTTAATTTTTTCTCCTTGTATTACAATTTCCCCTGGGTTCTCTACGAATTTATTTACTAATTCCTTGCTGGAGAGGTATATGCAAATTCTGTTATTGGAAATTCTAGAGCAAAACAAAATGTTCTTCGGGTCAATCATTGGTCCTAATTGGAGCAAGTAATCTTGTATTCTTGCTCCGTCTATGGAATTGAAAACTATAGCTTGTTCTTGAGTTGGATGTTTATATGTAGTTAGAATTGTGGAATAGTGTGTGGGTTGGTTAATCGGTGTTGATGTCATTGTTGCTAAGGTTTTATATCAGTATGGAAAAATATCATTTCTGAATACGGACCTGTTCTTTCGAGGTCCAAATTGTGGACGCGTTTTTCCCGAACGCTTGAGATTGGAATGTTGAGTATTTGATCCACTGATTTACTATGTTCTCGGTATATAGCACAATATTTCCTACTCACAATGCGTCCTGGTTCGTGATTTGCACTATATGGTAGCAAGTCGAAAATTGTTTGTGTTATGGTTCACTTTTAATACGGTAAATTCACGAGCTCACTGTCAGATAGACTAACTGACTCGGTTGCAGGACCGAACTCCCGAAATGAATCATTTACATTTGCTGGTTTTGAATTTTTTACAAGGTATCATTATTATAAGCATCTTTGGTAGATTGTTCGATCCGGAATGGTAAAGATCTCCTATTTATGAAAATATTTTTGGTATCATCAAACTAACCGTTGCAATCAGTGCACAAACACTGTGACATATGATTTATAGCATAACCCGCTGCCCTATCAATACAAATTTAACATATGGGTCGCCTAGCCGGGGGGATGCAGTGGTCGGGATGAATGTCACGGCAGCAACTGATGCATGTCTGGTAACAACGTATGAAGTGAAACTCGCTAACTTCACAAATTTGCAGATTTTGTACAATTTCTTTGAAGATGATGAAAGATATATCTGATTTGGCCGGGTAATGTCGCAGCCAAATGGTCACTCTTTCTGAAGTTGACGATACTCGTGTGAAATGTATTGATACTTCTAAATATAGGATCGTATCGAACATCCCTACTGTCAAGATGTATGACCCGGAACTTACTCTACTGGGGCCAGGAGGGTGAAACGGGATATTAATGCACAATCTGGCAACCCTGTTGCACCCTCACAAAATGGCCGCTGACAACCACACAAGTCATCGTGTTGCCATTGAATAGCATGGAATTAAACCTTCAGAGTGTATGTTTTGTGACTGGTACCAAGAGTTGAAAGATCCCACACATGTGTTACACCTTGAAATGCAATAATCAGCTGTATTCAAATTATGTCTAATATAAATATAACCTAGAATGTTTACTCGTGAAAAAAAAAATATGGCAAATTTGTAGTTTTTTGCAGGTTTTAGGTTTGCTGGTAGCTTTAAGGCATATATTTGTGAATTTCTTAATCGCTGAGAATATAGTGTGGATGTTTGTTCAGTTCCTGAACAACGAAAAATATTCAACTTTATGGATGTATGGATATCAAAAAACCTGAACGGTTTTGTGGGAATATCATTCTAAGGTGCCTGCCCTAATGGTTCTGATGAACGGCAAGTAAATGAATGAATGTTTGGAAACGAGCAATATCTGTTGGTAGAGCCTGTCATCAAGTAGGTGCTTAATGGCTATCTGCAAGAGGTTTATAGGAAAAAAACGCCCTGTATCGCTTATCAATTGAAGAAAATAATATAAACATGAATAAAAAATCAACAATAGTAATTAATACATGAATTTTATTCAAAAATCCGACATTTCTTTAAATTGTGACTGAATTATATGTAATTTCTTAATATTCAATAAGCTGGTGATGTTTCAATGACAAGCTGTCATCTCATACTTTGACAGTATTTTGTTTTCAACATTTCATAGCTATTGGTTTCTACAATTTGTTGATTGGAACTTGAAGCACATTCGTTGTATTTGACGGTCTGTTACCCTATAGGTGGAGAATAACGGACTGTTGTTGGTGAAATTGGCCCTAAATATGTTTAATTTCTCTGTTATACATGTTCGTAGTTACCTTCTTAACAGCGTTGCGAGGAAAGCGCAGAGTCGTCCTAATTGGCGCCATTTTTTAAGTATGGTATCATTTTATAGGTATTTTAGGTACCTAATAATTTTATTTGAGAGTTTCTTCGTAATTTGCGTGATTTCGGTGGAATCCCAACAAATCGCGTTTGACCTGCCCATTTTATGCACCTATGTTTTAAACGCCATTATGAGCAAATGAAACCGATAAAACTAAACAATAAATAATAATTGGACTCATATTGGAATCATACACACTAGATTTTCGCCACATGTTTAGGAAACATCAAGAAGACGTCGTCAAACTTATAAGTAAACGAGTTTTTTACTAGTTAACCAAACAACTTTTACATTTCACGCCTTTCCTGTTTTGCATACTGTCTGAATATTTCCACAGCTAAAAACAATTAGAATATCGCACGGTCTTTAACCGACGGAGTCGTATCTACGCCGCTATCAGAATATTTTGTCAAGCGCAAAATAACGCTTCACTCTACTATTGTCGGTCGTAACTCAAGCACCGTGAAATCTCACAGGTATTGTGTAATGGCCAAGTCAATAACCTCGTTTGCTTTTTATTCCTACTTTATCATCTAACACCATTTTTTTCTTTGGAACATTTCATTCTTCACATAAAAACTCATAGTAGCCAGAAACTTATACGCACAAACTTAGAGATATGTTAACAAAAAAATGGCACCGCGTGAGATGACTGTGCACTTTCCTCGCAAAGATCTCATTAGTTGATAAAGAGTTATGTCCGAGGAATAAATTCGCTACAAACGTATGTATAACAATGACAATTAAACGGATCAAGTCAGCCAAACAGGTCCATACAATTAGTCCATATGATAACACTGGAAATTTCTTCGCTGCGCTACCGGAAGTATCGACCATCTGGCCACACCGGCTGTCAGGGACATGCTATGAGCGCCAGAGCGTCAGTGGTTAGGTGCAGGCAGGACTTTTGAAAATATTTATCTAGTTTTGAGGGCAAATGTAGGGCGAACTGTATGATGTGTGAAAAGGTATTAATAGGTGAGTGAGATTGCCAATGCTGATAGCCTATAAATACAAATACTAACACCAAACAATTGGAACTTCCTCGAGATTGATGAGAATTCTCTCAAACGTCAAAAAGTTTGAGCCATTTTTACTTTACTACTTTTTTGCCTCTATCTCCGCCGCTAGTGGTCTGAATTATCAAAACTCTAAAGTTTTTCCTTCCAAGGCATAGTGGTAACATCACGCAAGAGATTCATGAACATCGGAGCAATACTTTCCAAATTATAGACAAGTCAAGGATTAGCGAACATACGATAGACAAATAGACAGACAGAACGATGGTCATATATAACATCTGATTTTCGAAACTATTGGCGATTACAATACGTCTTTGCTAGTGGCCTGAGAAGTGAAACTAAGAAATAATATTAAAATTATCGCATTTTCATAACTGGTTATACCCAGCCATGACTAAAAATCTAATTATGCATCAGATAATTGTATACTGAAATGCTCCCAAATATTATACTAGTAATCAACAACTTGAGAGAAAGGAAAATGGGCAATGGTGGGGTTTGAACCCGCATCTCATCCATTCCATCGAGCCGACCTAACCAATTAGTCTACAACACCAGCTGCCAACAATCTTTCAGAATCGACTGTTAGAGGCAAATTCAATCCTACCGACGTCACTGTCCTTTGTTCTTCCAAGCTGCCTGATGTCCCATCTGGCTAAATTCACGTGAAAATTAGTAAGGTATCTCCAATTGCTTTCTAGTTGCACCACGCGGTCTCTTAGGCCCGTATCGTCAGTCGTCCCTACAATTGTAGGGCGCCTTTATGGCCTCCTTGATTGTCATAGTTTTCTACTTCTCCGTGTCAGAACTCTATTTTGAGGTTATGTCACAACATCTATTTGCATCAAATTGTGCTTGCTTTTGAGTTGTATCATGTTTCATCAGCCTGAAATTTCCTACAATTTAAAAATAAAACATATCTTCACAATAGGAGAGCACTGACGCTGACACGGGACAAGTGTAATCTAGAAATTTTTGAAGGAGAGAAAGGAGTATGACAATTAAGGAGGCCATAAACGCGCCCTACAATTGTAGGGACGACTGACGATACGGGCCTAAGGAACTTATCACGGTACCACCATGCGAGGACAGTAACCTGTATACGATTTTTCGGATAAAAACATGCGTAACAGCGGGTATGTTTAGTAAACAACAAATTGAGAGCAAGGAAGAATGGACGTTGGCGGGATTCAAACCCCAATGGAGGAGATGCGTTTCACTTCGGCGCCGCCAGGTGGCCCATCAAGCAGCTTGAAAAGTCAAAGGACCAGTGATCTGGGTAGAACTAAATTTGCCACCAACAGTCGATCTTGTAAGTTGGTTGAAGCTGGTGCTGTAGACTAATTGGTTGGGTCGACTCCATGGAGTGGAGAATTCTACCTGCGCCTATTTTTTCTCTATCTCAAGTTGTTGCTCACTAATCATACCCGCTGTAACGGATGCGCTCATCCGAAAAATCGCATACATTTTGCTGTCCTTGCACGGTTTTACGGTGGTAAGTGCTCACAAGACGACGTGGTGTAACTAGAAAGCGATTAGTGGTACCTTACCAATTCGGTTTGTTGACTTACCTGTTTAAATCATTTTGTTATACAAGATCGTTTTTGGCTTTTTTTGACAAACATTGATTGATTTATGAATTGATGAGTGAGATGTGTGGCAAATGCAGGATCATCCTAATTGACAGCATTTTCGTGTTATTCCCAAGTGCACATGTTGTGCCCTAGGATTTTAACCAACATAATCTAATATATTTTAACTCATCCATTATATTCCCCACATGCAGGCGGAGAAGGAGGGCGAGGGTATAAAGAAACGAAATTGTTACTTTGTTCAATCAGGCTAAGGCAATACATGAATATTTGAAAAGTCGTTGTCTCGTATTATGAAAGAATAAACCAAGGTTATTGGCTGAAAATCAACTCCTTATAAATTCATGAATTGTCCATTCAAGCTCCACGGTGGCTACCGCGAGCGTAGGGCAAGCTTTTCCAGAGGGATTGAATCAGGGGTGAAATTCCACTCACCTACCAATTTCTCGATAAGAATAAGAGCGTTTCTACGCTTTAGGAATAGTATCGACAATGTAGTTACACAAAACATAACTTATCGTATCTTCAACTGTTGCTATTTTCTAAGTTTACTAGCCCGACCTGTCACACTTTTGTTTTACATTCCACCTTGGTCGTGTTTTAGATAACTAGAATGTTTGGTATGTCTGCTTCTTTGAGCCTAGGATATCGATAATCTAGGACAGTTTCTCAAAAGAAAGCATCCAGATTCTAGCAATTAAGCTCTGTATAATTCATTTGCGGTACTCCGGTATTAATAATTTGAGTTGCTTCGATAGATATGTTCTGGCATTACATTTGCAATTGATTTCTTTTTTACCATATCTGTAGGTGAGATTCGATCAAATAATGAAAATCAGGCACAGGACATGGAAATGATTGAAAATCAGGAAACACCAACAAAAGCACTTGAGATTTCTGCGGCTAAAGTTAAGCAGCAGAAAATAATAAAATATAAAAAAGAAAACATTCTGAAACAAATACAATTAGACCGTAAACAATACCAAGAGAAGAGACTAAAATTGGAAAAATACAAAATAGGTTTGTTATTAGAACTGCAAAAACAGAAACTACAAATAAAAAAACAAGTTGAGGTTTTAGAAAAAAGAAACGAAATATTGAAAAACAAAAAATATAACCCCTGACAAGATGGATACTTAATCGTAGTTATGTTATCTTGTGTTTATGTGTAATATTGTTTGTGTTTGTACTTTGAAGTATTATAATGAAAGATATATGTTGAGTTTTATTTCTGTGATAAATGAATGTAAAATTGGGATTAGTATTTTAGTTCATTCTGCATTATTAAAAATTAAAATACTGATACATTATTTAAAAATACTTTTTATTTAATATAAAAGATGAGTGTATGTACATTTACAGTATTAATTTACGCTCTAAACTAGAAGTAAACAACATAACAAACTTGAATAATTCAGAAGATCTTCTAAAACAACAATGAAGCAGCCTACATGGTACAAAACAAAAGATAAATTCAACATCAATTATACAAAGATTTTTGATGTAGTTGTTGACAGTAAAATGTCTTGGAAATACCTTCATGAGTTATCAAGCTTCGAAAGTGTATATTTTTGGTCAGGTAATCAACTTAAGATGCATAAAGCTTATGGCAATTTCTTGTTTTCCTGTATTAGAGATGTACACCTTGGCTTGGTAATTTTTTGAAAATGAATATCTCAGCATTTGTGTCCATTGCCACTTTGGATTGCCATGAAAAAAGAAATAAATGACAGAGTCCAATGCTTTCGAAGAAATTTTAGTCAAACCAATTCCCCTTTAGGAATGTGCTTTTACCTGTCTGTAATAATGAAGTCATATTATTCAGTTTTAAATGAAAGCAACTGATGATACTACATCAAAATATGCCTAGCCACAAAATTCCTGTGATCTGCAGCAGCATTGTTCAAAATTTCGGCTTTATCATCTATTTCTGGAACAAGTGGAAAAACTGGATCTGGTATAAGATGTACTTCCTCATCAGGAATTCGATCATTTAGAGCTAAATTATGCAAAACACAACATGCACGTATAAAGTGTCAATATCAACAATCTTTCTCAACTTTATATGGTAAAGCTGCCTCCATTTCTGCTTCATTAGGCCAAAGCAGTGCTCTATCACATATCGATTTTGGCTAACTTCAAATTGAAGATTTTTCAATTCCCACCAGGTTTCCATGATCTTTATATGGTGTTAGGACATGTCTTGTACATGGGTAGCCACTATCACCCAGTATATAATACTGTTGGCAGTTTTTACTCAATACTGGAAATATTGGTGAATTCCTGAATACTCGGCTATCATGGACTGATCCAGGGTATCCAATAAAGATGTCTCGGATTTGTGCTCGATTATCACAAACAGCTTGTACCTAAAAAAACTATCTTAATCATGAAAACTATAGATGCGTTTTTTGAATTACTGGATGGAATAAAAGTGTTTGCGGTTAGATATGAATCAGGATCATCCTTTGGGCTATCAATCCTCATATTGCTCCTATTAAATCTGGAAACCCTTTATCTCTGAAATGTTGCTCAATTATGATTTTTTCCTCATTGTTAGGCCATTGAATTACAGTTCCAGATATACTGCTTATAAACTTGACTAAGCCTTATTATATGGAATAAACAACTAATCGTGACATCAAATCTGTCAGCTACATCACGAACCGATGATGTTTCATGTCCCGCGAACCACAAAAATATGAATGTGTGTTCATAATCAGAAAGCTTCCCACTACCGCCAGTATACTGTTTGTAGAACGGGCTATATTCATATTTAGTTGAGATATCTTCGACCACTTTGCGACTAACGCTAAAATGTTACGTTCCAGTAATCCTCATTTTTGGTTTATTCTGATTATGAAGCATCATGTCTAGAATATCTTCATCATCCGTAGAATCGATTTCTGATATCCAGTCGGACTCTGAACTTGAAGTTGAAAAATCTACCACAAATCATAACGTAAACAACATTATGATCTTGTGCGCATGATAAGACGGATTCAAACCGTTATAAATGTGATGCCAGAACATATCTAATATAAGAAAATCCGTAAGCCACGGCAGGCCTTCCCATCTACTGAGAGGTCCCAATGTTCTATCTCAAAATATGTTAGTAGCTATATCCGAGCAGTATGATAAATATCTAAGATTTTCTGCAGAATCGCCAGGCTTTCGTATGTTCTTGTGAAATGACAGACACCGAATTAATCACTTACCGACTATCGTATGATGCCGTTTAGTTCTTTTCAAAAGTGATTGTTTTGGTGCCAATCTCGAAGACGTTTCTTGGCCCTTCAGAAAAGTAGATGATCACAACTTGATAGTGGTTATGGCGAATAAATGACGGAAAACTATGCAGAGCGGGGCATTTATCTTAAGACAACGGAAGACTCTGGCGGGGTCACATTTTTTTGACAACTGTTCCGGACAGAAGTTGTACGGTGATGAACTTCAGATTTTTAAATAGGACATAAAAAGAGCGGGATATTTTACTCTCAGATGTAAAATTAACCTAGGGGAAAGAAAGCAAAATATGGTGTGCAGATATGACCTTAACAGTCAAGTAACAAGGTAAATAAAAATGTATACATTGTTCCAGGTCAACGTAAAAGTTTCAGTTTTACTTTGCAAATAAAACTCGAAATGCTTTTAGAGTCTTTCTTCTTGCATAATTTGCAAAAAGTCACTGATGTCTCTCAGTGATAGTAGCCTTTAACTAAAATTTTGCGTTTGATATTTCTCACTCTCTGACTAAACTTCTCACCTCTATTCATTTTTCAGCGACAAAACCATGCTTTGATCCGTTGATTATTTTGAAATAGCCAATGCAGGAATTTCAAAAATAAATTACGTGATACAGAGTCGCTTTGATGTGATGATTTGAAAAATAATAACTTCATTTAAAATTATGAACTTGACCATCAAACGATCAAAGTCCAAGTCAAGTATCACTGGCAGGCAA